AGTATTTTTTCACACATGCTGGTGCTCCTGTGTTGGGTGCATATATATTTATAATGGTTATATCCTCTTGTTGGACTGAGCCCTTTATCATTATGTAATGTCCTTCTTTATCTCTTGTTACTTTCTTTGTTTTGAAGTCTATTTTGTCTGATACTAGTACTGCAACACCTGCTCTTTTCTCCCTATTGTTTTCATGAAATATCTTTTTCCATCCCTTGACTTTAAGTCTGTGCATGTCTTTGGGTTTGGGGTGAGTCTCTTGTAAGCAGCATATAAGATGGGTCTTGTTTTTTTATCCATTCAGTGACTCTATGTCTTTTGATTGGTGCATTCAGTCCATTTACATTTAGGGTGATTATTAATAGGTATGTATTATTGCCATTTCAGGCTTTAGATATTTACCAGTTTTTAATGCTCAGTTAGAAATTCCTATATAATGATTCTTACCCACAATCCTCTACAGAGATGTGGTGAATTTCACAAATCTCAAAGCCTGTGTGCCTGTCTCCATAAATTTCATCTTACCTCAGTGATAAGATTGAGGATTAAAAGAAATAGAGGGTAATTTATGAGACCATTTGAGGCATTATTTACTAATTAGACCTTCCTTCCCCAGAAACCTCTAGCCAAATGGACAGGGCCATGGGATAAGGAAAAAGATAGCACACTGCAGGCAGACTTAAGAAATTGTATAAAACCTGCACTGCAACCTGGCTTGAAGACCAGCAAAGAACTATTGACACTTACAACACAGATGGCCACTGCAACACCTGAGTCATCTTCTATTCACTTCTGGTAGATTTTGGTGGAAGAGAAACATCTGTTCAAGAAGTCAGAAACACCTCAAGAGTGGTGAGTGCTCCCATATGCAGGATCTTTAAATGGGAACAGTGTGCAGAAATAGGAAGCCCCTAACTTTTTACAGTTTATAATGTGCTATACTCCCATTATTTTACTACACGCAATATAATACAGGGGGAAGACCACCAGCTAGACCTAGTTTTGAGTCTGACTTCTACCACTTGATAGATTGTGACCTTGAGCAAATCTCTCAATTGGAGAATCACATTCCACATTTGTACAGAATTAAGTAATGCCATCTAACCTGCTATAAAAGTATGAAGCAAGCTTATAGAGTATAATGTAAAGTGCTTCAATGTATAAGCTTATAAAATGAGTATAATGTAAAATGCTACAAGTATAATTATACTGCATAATGTAATATACAATGTATAATGTAAAGTGCTACAAAATTAAAGGCTTAGGAAATAAAAGAAAGTGCATGGACTTAGACATTCAAATCTAGGGTCTGCACTTCACTGTACCTTACTTAATGCAAACTAGTTAACTTCTCTGAGCCTTGGTTTCCTTTCTTTTTTTTTTTTTTTATTAGGAAACGACCAACTCATCTGCTGCAGGGTTACCATGAATGTTAAAAAGATAACATGTAGACCAGCTAACATTGTTCCTGGCACATGTTAAAAACTCAACACATAACAGTCATTATTATAATTGTATAAATGAAGAAACACACTTAAAATTGAACTCATTGACTCAAGGTCATATTTAAGTAGCAGAGTCAGAATTTAAAATCAGATGTTTTGATTCAATCTTAATCTCTTCACTTTGTTATGTTTCCTGAATCATCACACAACTAGGAGTAGTGAGGGGCAGAATCTTGGACAGTAGTAAAGTCCTAAACCTAAGGATTATCAGCAAGAATGGGTCAAAGGCTCTTCTAGGATGAATAGAGTCAACAGGCAGTGAGAGAAAAGGCTCTCAAAGCAAATCTGTGGCAAGCCAAAGAGCCTAGAGAAAGTCAGGATGAATTCACACAGACTGCTCTGTTCCTAGATTCTGGTAGGATGTAATAGGCATCTCATAGCCTGGCTCTTCTGATCCTCCTCTCCAAACACCCTAAAAAAATACCTCTTGTGCATCACCACACCTCTATTCTCTAAATCTTCCATACCTTTTTGCTGAAAAATAAGAATTTTTAAAAATAGAAGAACCTTTAATTCAACACCTTCAGAACCTCTAATTCTTGTAGTAAAAGAGCTTAAAATAATAAAACATGTTTAAGAATGTATGTTGAAAAAAGTCAACAATCAAAAATTATAACCAAATGGAATCAAACCATCTTTTTTCATCAGAAGAATATTGATAAGAACAATGTCTCACTGTTTAAAATACTCTCTGCCTCTCTTCTTATAATTCACATCAGTGCTTCTTAGCAAATCCCTTCTGGTATCCCAAAGTCTGTCATTCTCCACAATGGCTATACCAAACTTTCTTAATTCTCAGATCCTTGAGCCCCCGTAGCCCTCTCTTAAAGTTCAGGTTATCAGGTCTGTCTGCTTTCTGTTTCTCTTATTCACAGCAAATTATATGAATCCATTTTCACCTCCTTCCCCCAAGTTTCAGAGGAAAAAGTATGCCTTCTCCTGCTCAACACTGATTTTTCCACTGGGCTCTTGATCACAGTAGACCCACTGACCTCCTCAATAGAAGGAACCTTGCTCCCCCTCTTTGACACACCCTCTCCTTCTGTCTTCTTAAATATATACTTTGTCTCTCCAATCTACAAAACTTGTAAATGATTCTCCTCTGCTAAAAAAGACAGAATTCAAATTCCCTCTGTTTTACAAAGTTCTTTTATAACATGTATTTCTCACTAAGCTGTTAGAGGACAAAGATCCTAATTCTTGTTATACTTTACTCAGATGTCTGCTAACTGATATATCTTTCTACCCGAGTCCCAGCTACGACAAGGCCTTTGCTGTCCAACTAACAGGCCCTGCAGCCATACAGAACCTTAGCTCCTTCATTTCTTAACTCAGTGTCCTCAACTTCAAATCAGGATAAAAACACTTACTTTAAAAAAACTAACAAATAATGAAAACTATTTAAAACATTTATTTTGCAGGGATGTTGTGAGAAGTAAAATAATCTACACAATACATCCTGTATAGCTCCTGCACTATACTATTCTTTAGACATTGAGTAAACAATTTCCTTCTAATGCAGTAATTCTTAGCCTTTTTTGGGGTATGAACACCTTTGAGAATCTGTAGACAGTTACAGTACACCTCACCCTATGAAGCATCCATTTGTATGACACTCAATTTATCATACAATTAAAAGGGGAGGGGGTAATACATAGACCATCTGAAGGTCAACCATAGACACCAGATTAATAATTCTTGCTCAAAAATAGTCATTTACAGAGCAGATCCAATGTGCTTTTAAAAAGCAATTTGCCACCTGAATTACAAACATCACAGATGCAACCTGACAAGCTGAACTAATAGAACATGGCAGCATCTAAAGAAAACAGAGACATTTGAGCAAATCAAAGATCTGATCCCTCTTTCACTCCTGATACAGAGAAAGACTGAATAGGGTTGGGGGGGAAAAAGCAACATTTATTAATTAAGAGTCTACTATGTGCCACATGTCATACTCAGCACTATTTAAGCATAACTAGGTTTCAATTCTTACAATTGGATGAAATAGGACTGTAATCTTAGTATTAAAGACAGAGAAACTAGGGCTCATGAGATTAAAAAACATGACCAAGGTCTCCCACCTGTTCACACTCACTCATGAGCTAGCTCTCTCTCTCTCTCTCTCTCTCTATATATATATATATATACACACACACACACACACACACACCCATGCATATGAATTCATTCTTTTGAAATGTGAATCATTGACTAGAAGGGCATAGCCCTATAGTGGAGCTTAACCTCGGAGTAATATTTTTCCATGCATGTAAAACTCTGTATAATCACTTCTTACCCATCTGAAAAAACTTTTCTCAACATTGCACAATTCAGCATATTTTGATATATTTAGGATGTATTATTTGTGATACTTTAGAGAAATAATAAACATTCTATGACTGGTTAAAGTCATTAGAAAAATGTCAGTACCCAGTAGGTAAAGATATAGCTTCAGCATATAGTTAACAAAACAATTTTTTTAAAATTTCAAAAGCATAAAAGCAAATTTACCTCTAATACATCAGAAGTGATAAGTTTCATTACACGATCATTCGGGTCCTTAAATTCTTCTGTAACTTCAGCTCTTTGAATTTTTTTCTTCATTCTATATGACAGCTATATGACAATGTCTTTTAGTGGGTATTTCATAAGTACTGATATAAGACAGCAATACAAACTGTCAGTAAACATGGATGAAATAAAAGCAGCTCCAAGTATATACTTATGAGATAATCCATTTTACAAAGACTACTAGACTTCTGAAATAACTCCTAAAATGCCATGACACATGCTTACAAATTCAGACAAGATTCAGAAAAGATACATGATTTGCCACCTGATGGCAGAACCAGAACTAGAACCTAGGGGTCTTTCAGTCTAATATTTCCATTGTCATAGATTGATTGAGGAAATATCATATTATTGGAGGTTTCAAGTTTTCACCAACTGATACTAAAATTCACTGGTCTTCTTTCAGTAACCTCTGCTGTTTGTAAAAAGGAATAAGCAAATGCAGATGCCAAATCTAAGTTCCTCTTCTATCAATTTACTTAATAGATGGCATCCAGAAAAACTGCATTTAAAAGCAGAGATTGAATTTTTGCTTGCAAAAAAGAGTTAGTAGAAAGCACTTTCTCCTATTTTAAGACTTTCTACAAATATTAGAAACTCTATTTCTTTCCATTTTGTGGAGACTGAGGTCCTTTATGGACAATATAGCATAATTTCTCATTTTGAAAACAATCTGTTTTGAATAACATACCAATTTGGGCATCGCTGTAAAGTAAAATGCATTATCTATTCGTAGCTTCCTAAAAATATAAGCTGCATCAAAATGTTGTGCATTTATCAAATCTTGCTGAAATTTTAAAACTTCATCCCAATCCTTCAGGGCAACTCTAATCTACAAACAAAAGGAATGAAAAAGATGTTACTAAATGTAAATCTTTTTTCACAAATGTGTTATAATTTTGAAACACTGGCATTTCTATTTATATCAGTATATTGTAAAATATTGTACACATTTCATATTTCTGTTGAGGGAAAACAACTCAACAAGTATTATTACCTTTTGTTTTGGTTGACACAATTGGGTGTTATATAACCCATACAGCAGATACAAAGCACCAACTCTGATCTGGAAGGTGTAAGGAGGTAAAAAATATCTCCAAGCCAAAGCTAAAGCTTCTTTTGTAAACATGTTCTTTTCTAAATTTCTCATTCTACCACTGGAAAACAAAAAGAAAATGTATTATAACTCTAAGTAAACCAATAATGAACAAAAATTAAAGGCGGTATATTCTAGCAGCTGCTAGAAACCGGGCTTTCCACCCTGATCCTTTCATGGTTCTAGCAAAAAGACCAAATTTTCTCCTGTGCTTCTTATTCTTACACTGAGGCACAGGCATACACTAAGTAAACATGATGCATCTTCCTAAAGCATCAACTTTACTTTCTGAATTGGGGAACAAAAGGGGAAGGGTTATGAACTATTTCCGGTTAAGTATTTAAAACATTTAATATATTAAAATAACCATTGTTATGTTACAGAATAAGATACAAAAATCATATGCATTTTAATATATAATGGAAATTGTCCCCAATTCTCTCAGGGATCCATACTAAACTTCATTTTGTCCTTGGAACACCTAGGTGAATAACTTAAGAGAGCCACAACACCACATAATCCCTTTCCCACCCAATTCTGCAGGGCAAAGCTCAAGAAAGTAAAGGACCACAGCAGGAAAGCAAACTCCACTACACTCCCCAAACCTGGGCTCTTCAAGAAATAAATATACTAAAAGGATGTAAAATTTCTACTGTAGTATTGGCAACTAAAGCAATTTCTAAAGAAAATCCACCAATCCTCAAATGGTATCCACTTTTGCTCCTATTTCAGTTTTTCTTCATTAGCTAAAAACTGAGATAACCAGAAAATTCTTCCCTGAACTGCCACTTTTCAGTGGGGAATACAGTGAAAGATCATGTGTTTTGGATAGAGGCCACCTACTAGCTGTGTAATCATGGAGAAATCACTTAACCTCCTTAAGCCTCAATTTTCTCACCTATAAAAGGATAGTTACACCTGCTTTTCAGAGTTCATCTACATTAAGCTACAGATGTATTATATTTAGGAACCATTTTTAAAAATTAGTTCTCCTCCTTTCATTAACTGTGCCCTGCAATGTACATACTTATTTAACATCAACAGAGAGAAAAAAACAGAACCTTTACATCTTATACAGCAAAACATAGTTTTAATCACAAGAACTCATTCAGCCAATTATTTAGCCTCTTCAATATTATATGCTAAAGGATACCCTATTCATCCAGTCACTATCCTTACAGAGCTGTCTAGAGGTAATAATAATAATAATAATAATGAACACTTAACTGAGCACTTAGAATGCACTTAACATATATTCGCTTATTTAACCCTCGGAACTACAATCTGCAGTATTATCATTGTCCCTATGTCGCAGATAATGAAGCTCAGGCAAGTAACTTGCCCAAAGTCACTGTTAGTGGACTCTGATTTCAATTCAGGCAGTTGGGCTCCATGACCTGTGCTCCTAACCACTCTACTATATATACCACCTTTTGAACTACACACTTAAAATAAAATGTGTTAAGTCGAGAGATAAAATAAGCAGAGTGCTATAGAAGAAAAAAAGTATGAACACCTTATTTGGTCTATAAAGGCAAAGGAAGACGCCTTCGAAAAACTGTCATTTGAGCTTAAACCTGAGTGAAGAAGAAGGAAAGGTCAGGTAAAGGGAGTTAGGGGAAAGCTCCAAGCTAAGGAAACGCCCTGAAGAGCCACAGCAGATGCTGGAGCAACAAAATGAGTGCATTGCGGCGGCGGGGGGGTGTGGGGGGAAGGGCTGTAGATGAAGCAGCAGCAGAGATGGGGAAAGGCCAGTGGCGTAGGCCTTTACCTACCATGTTAGGGAATTTGAGCTTTATCCTAAAGGCAATGGAAAATGGTAGGCAGGGGGGGTGACAAGATCAGATTTGCACTTCAGAAAGAAAACTGGTTGTTGTATGTAAAACGAATTCAGTCGCGCAGCATTTTACCTTCCTTAGGTGTTGGCTTTCTTTTAAATGAGTTACTATAAGAGCAAGACTGGAGGAGGGCAAATGATGGTGACCTAGGTCAGGGTGACAAAGTAGAGATGGGGAGTTAGTGTAGAAGGGCGGCCAAGCAGAAATAAATATTCGCAAGGAGGTCGCAAAAGAATGCAACCGAAGCCAATGAAGTCGCCCAGGCAAAGCGCGCCCCACGGCACAGGATAAGGCGCAGAGAGACCGAGGCAGCGATCAGACACTGCCGCTTTTCTCATCCGTTGCCAGGCACCGCAATGCGCAAAGGGAAGGAAGCAACTTCCTAAGCCGCCTCTGAACAGGGAGAGAGGCGGATAGCGGACGAGGAACACCCACCAGAAGATGGTCCCGAACTTCATGCTCCTCCATAGCTCCGTGAAGTCCTCGAACCGCACGCTGTCCGTCTCCTGGAAACGGCTGAGTAACGCCTCGCAATCTGTCTGCAGGCCAGGCGGAACCCCCATGGCTGCAGAGCGCGCACACCAAACGCCAAGCCGACGGCGGTAGCCGAGGAAACCAGACTTGACCTCCCACCCCGTACGACGTGACGCACTCGCGCCCCGTGACGTATATCCGGCCGCTGCGGCTCCGCCTCCAGCCTTACGTGCTCCCGCTCTCGCAAAGCTCCCTGATGAACCTGATTGGTGTATGATGTGTTGCCAGCTTTGTTGTCCTTAACGTAAAGGGCTAGGCTTAGCCTTTTTAATTTCATTGAAAAGGTTTATATCTCAAGTGTCCTGCGAGCCCAGGATTTTAGGTCCACATTTGGCTAGCTTGTGCAAATTGGCTTTACCCTTACTACAGCCTCCTTTAAAAAGTTGACGGTTTAACTTTTATAGGTAACCTCGACCCAACGCCTCGTGGAAAGAGGAACCAAAGAAGAGGATTACTAGGAAACAGACTGGACTCTTCCTTTATTAGCCAATACCCACAAAATGTGGTGCTTAATGTGTCTCTCGCTGTAGCCCAGGCAATCTTATGCAACTACTTGAGAAGCCTTGTAAAACATCTCACCACCACCACCACTACATCCCCCTACGCTACAGTCTATCACTGTACTAAGCAGAAAATACTTATTTCATGCATTCTACCTATTTGGCTGAACTGGCTTTCTGTGTACACCACCTCTTAGTTTCTCACTGGAGCTAGATACAGAGTATTATTTTGTACTTCTTGCCATTTCTCTAATTGCAGGACATGCCATTTTTATTTAAGAAAATTGTCCTAATAAAATAGAAATGCATTGTGCTTTCTATCTGTAGATAGAGGTTCAAATCACTTAACTTTCCTGATGACAGAACTATTTCAATTTTTATATATTTTTTTACTTTATACAGAAAAACTTATATAACACTTTTGAGATAAGTATTGCAGTAAAAAAACCAAATATCTGGGTATCTTCTACCTTTGTAGGAACCAGAACATTACCAACACTGTCACATTAATCTGTGATTTCCTTCTCCATTGCTATTCCCCTTCCTGCACCACTACCTTAGTAACTATTACCTTATTTTGTTTCTCATTCTTTTGTATACTTTATCAGATGTGTATGGTTCTCTAAACAATATATTGTTTAGTTGTGGTTGGTTTTGAGTTTTATGAAAATGGTATTGCAATTATATATTTTTTGAATTACTCTTAATTTAATAATGCTAAGATTCATTTGTGTTATGACAGCTGTAGTTCATTTTATTTTCATTGCTGCCTAATATTCCATTATGTGAATGTACAGTTTATCCATTTCCTCAATGCAAACTTACATGAATTCCAAGTTTTGCTATTACAAACAGTGCTACTATGAACAGTTTTGTACATGTCTTCTTTTATTTGTAGGATTGCCAGATAAAGCATATAAACCCAACTAAATTTGAATTTCATATCAATAAAAAATTATTCATTGTTTATCCTTAATATAGTTTAACTGAAAATCCCTTATTTTTGTTTGCTAAATATGGCAATTCTATTTATATATTACAGCAGTCTAGAATATATATACACTTGAGTAGAATTGTTAGATGTTAAATCCCTTATTTTTGTTTGCTAAATATGGCAATTCTATTTATATATTACAGCAGTCTAGAATATATATACACTTGAGTAGAATTGTTAGATGTTATCAGGTACAAATGTAAAACTTTAAAAGATCACATCAAATTGTTTTTCTAGAGTGGTTCAACTATTTACACTTCACTACCTGTGTATGAGAGTTCCCAATTCAGCCACATCATGTCCAAAACTTGGTATCTAATTGTGGTCTTAATATTCATCTCTCTGATTATTAATATGGTTGTGCATCTCCTCAAATTTTAAATTTTTATTCATATTCTCTCTACTGTGAAATTCCTGTTTATATATTTTGTCTGTTTTTCAATTGGGTTGTTTGATTTTTTCATATTGATTGTAGGATCATCTTACATATTCTGAATACTAAAAGGGTATTTGTATTACAACCTCCTTTTCCAAGTTTAACTTTTTATTTTTTCCTTTATGATGATTTTTGATGTACAGAAATTCTTATTTTTAATATAGCCAATTTTTAAATTCTGATAGTGTTGATCTTAGGGCCATAAGTATCTTCCCTGTATTTCATTTTTAGTTAAGCAAATACCAATAGTATCACTAATCATGAATATTCAGTGGCTTAATACAAATGAAATTTATTTTTCTTTCACATTAAGTTCAACTGATGACAAGATGGGGTGTGAAGGGTTTGCTTCAAGAAGTCTGGGGACCCAGACTGATAAAGCCTCTGCCATCTTCAGCCATTTGCTTTTAAGGCCACGCTAAGCAGACATTTAGCCTATAGATAGGGGAAGAGAGTGGGAAAGACTGCATGAGATTTTTATGGGCCATGCCTGGAAGTGGTGTACCCTCAAAGAGTGGTCTGCTGACCTCTGCTTGTCTGCAAATTGTTTATTATCTCTCCATCACCCAGTGGGACAGAAATTGAGAAAAAGTGTTTGTAAGCTTTTAATACCAGTTTGAAGGAGTAACTTTATGTCTGTTGAATCTAATAATTTTTAAATGGGCTTATATTTGGTATGACTTAAAAATTCCAATTTTCTGGTAATTTTTTAGTTTAGTTTACAAAAGCATTGGCCCATTAGAAATTAGGGAGAAATGATCCATTAGCACAGATAGTTTGAGAAGCCCTGGTGTACTCCATTTCAGTCCACATTCCATTGGCCAGCACTCATTCACATGGCCTCATCCACAGGCAGAGAGACCTAGAAATGTGGTTCCTAACTGGGCAACTTCTTCCGAGCACCAACTCCAACCTATGGAAGAGGTGCACAATCTTTGTTAAACTGTTAACATCACTGCCAGAATTTTATTCCAAAAAACTTAAAGTACTGTCTTTTACTTTTAATCCACTGTTTTCACCTAAAAATTATTTTTATATATGGTATGAGTTAAGAATCCAATTGTACTTTTTTGCATTGTTTTATTCATTGTTTATCCTTAATATAGTTTAACTGGAAATCCCTTATTTTTGTTTGCTAAATATGGCAATTCTATTTATATATTACAGCAGTCTAGAATATATATACACTTGAGTAGAATTGTTAGATGTTAATCACTGCCAGAATTTTATTCCAAAAAACTTAAAGTACTGTCTTTTACTTTTAATCCACTGTTTTCACCTAAAAATTATTTTTATATATGGTATGAGTTAAGAATCCAATTGTACTTTTTTGCATTGTTTTATTCATTGTTTATCCTTAATATAGTTTAACTGGAAATCCCTTATTTTTGTTTGCTAAATATGGCAATTCTATTTATATATTACAGCAGTCTAGAATATATATACACTTGAGTAGAATTGTTAGATGTTAATAGGTACAAATGTAAAAGTCACATATTAAGTGTGCAGGGTTAATTGAAGCCAGTACATAACTCCATGGCTCTGTACCTGTTAATATACCAAAATATTTCCATTTCTGTTAGTATATAGTTATTATCCTGAGCCTCCTTAACCCTCAACCCCACTACCCTGTCCCCAACCCTGGAATCCCTAAGCTCCCCACAACCCAAATCTGAAATAGCTAAGCCTGGCACAAAAGAGGCCTCCAGTACCCACTCCAGCTTCATTCTGTATCCGGGGTTACCATCTACTCCCAAGGGCCGATACAGATCTCACCACTAATTCCATACTCTTAATTACTACAGCTTCTTTTAAAAAAATATTAATTAAGAAGGAAAATTCTCTCATTTTAATTTTCAAGAGAATCTTGACTATTCTTGGACTTCTGTTTTTTCATCAAATTTTAAATTAAACTTGTCAAATTTCTCTAATAGCATCATTTGCATTTTGACTGAATTGCATTAAATCTTAAGTCAGTTTGGGAAGGAATAACATCTTTATCACATTGTGTCTTCCATACATTTAAGTCACCTTTAGCATCTTCATTAATGCTTTATAACTTTTCTCCAGGAACTTTTTACATGTCTTTTATTGGATTTTATTCCTACATACCTTAAGTTTTCCTATGGCTATTGTATTTGGTATATTTTACTTCCTTACATTTTTTAACTGCTTAATTCCAATATATAAAAACGCAATTGAATTTTATGTATTGATCTAACACCCATTCCTATGTTAATTATAATAGGTTTTCTGCAGATCATTTAGGTGTTCTATAGAGACTGTAACATCTGTGAATGATAGTTTACTCTTCTTTTTAATCTTTATACCTTGTCTTTCTTTTTCTCCTCTTATTTTATTTCCCTGGCTAAGCCCTCCTATACAATGTTAAATAAAACCTTTAATGTTAAATATAAATACCTTCCCTTCCCCAATCCTAGAGATTTGTTTACAATGTTCTGTAGGGGAGGATGGGCAGATGCCCTGGCTGCTATATACAAGCTCCAAGTCTCACAATTTGGGGGTTCCTCTCCTATGGTATAAACCCTGATGCACCTAGCAGTGAATATCTGGCCCTTCTTGTATAGCCCAGGGAGAGTTGGGGTATGGGGAACCAGCATCCATATGCTGTGTAGTAAATGGGCTGGTGTTTAATAAAAGGTCTGGTGTTTCTATCAGTGTTTCTATCAGACCCTTCACAGTTTTGGGCTTACTGAATACAAAAACACTTGAAATCTCATCTGAAGACAATTAATAGTTACTAATTTTTAAAAAGTTCTTGTTCTGTTAACAATTTTTATTGGTCATTTAAAATGTTCTGAGTCACCACTACCTTTTCTTTTCATGAGTTGCCACTAGCTTGATAATCTGTATCCAGGCCACACTGCTCCCCACAGGCATCTCAAATTTGGCCTCTTAAAAACTAACTTTTCATCTGTCTTCCAAATGGCTCCTCCTCCTGCATTCCCTGCATACTCCCTAGAAAATATTACAAAGATACAGAAATGCAATGCAGGAACTAGAAGTCCTCTGGCATTCCACTTCCCAATTACTGTTTTACATTCAGTCATTATACTATTCCACTGAAGAAATTTAAAATACGGAAATAACATCATCGCAGTTTTGTTTTAGAAAGGCCAGTTTGACCACAACGCAGTGTGGCAGGGATGGGGCAGTAAGAGGGGA